AATATCGAAGCTATGATACTGGAAGAGTGGTACGACGAGCTACGTATGGACCTTCATCCCACGACAACTACCGACGATTATCTTCACTGCGTCCCAACAACCGTGCTGCCCGACCAATGTATTTTGGTTCCAGCATCTGTGGACGAAGAAGATATTGCATTGTCGGAATCGCTCGGAGACGAGCCTGATCCACGAGAGTCCTGTCTAGTCTCTCTCTCTCTCTCTCTCTCTCTCTCTCTCTCTCTCTCTCTCTGCTCAACCACACTTGATGAGAGCTACTCTCTTGGCAGTGATGAGTATGGTCCCTATGTTGAGTTATGTTTCATATCAGAAGTGTCAAAGGTAGTGTTGGATCAGACTCAACTTGCTCAGCTCGACACCGATATGGTCGCAACGATGAGAGTATATGTACCTTCTGCTGCTAAACGCGCCGTGGTAGTCAAGGAAGACGACCTACTCACCAAAGCCGACATAGCAGCACACCCAAAAGAGGTTAGTGAAGCTTTATACACTGAACTCAAAATCTGGATTGATAACCGATGCTTTGAGATGTATGATGTATCCAAAGTTTCCAACATCATGACATCCAGGTATGTATATAAGTGGAAGTTTGTGAAGGTGGGTACCGAGAACGTTAAAACCATTCGTCTCAGACTCGTCCTTCGTGGAGTTATGGACACCGAGGCCTTCGATGTGGAAACTTCTCTCGGGAACCGCCCGAAGGCAGTCCCAGAGACTCCTGGCAAGTGAGGCGGCATGCCATCCAGAGTGGATCTTAGCACCCATGGATATCGATAAGGCGTTCCTCAAGGGTCTGACCTACGAGGAACTTGCCCATGCTACCGGCGAGGAAACTCGCATGGTTTGCTTCGCCCTTCCACCGGGAAGTGCTCAGGTACTTCGTACACTACCCGGCTCTTCATCCTATGATGAAAGCCGACACTGCCTCAGGTGCCTCAAACCAGGAACGGGTAGAAAGGACGCCCCAAGAGCGTTCTCTCTCAAACTTCGTACGACCACGCGATCTATAGACCTTACACCGACCAGTTATGACCCTGAATTTGAATTCAGCCAAGATTTGTTAACAGCAAAACATGTCGATGATATTAACATGACAGGCCTAGCGAAAAATATAGACGACTATGTACAACGCGTCGAAAAGGTGTTTGGCACATGCAAGCTTAACAAACACTCATATACGAACTGCGTCGTTCGCTACACCAAGAATGACCAAGGGGACGTGATCATGGACCAGGACGAATATATCAAACAACTTCGTCCTATCACACACCCAGAACTTACAGGGGCGGCGGCCGATGCCAAAGCCACGAAACTTATTACCGACATGTTCGTCAGCTTGCGAGGAGCCCTCGCCTATGCCCTTCTTATTCAAATCTGGCCCATGGTATACGCGGTCTCTCTCCAGAAAATCCAAGAGCCCACCAACCTACAAGTCAAGCGACTTAATGCTGCGACGCGAAAGCTGATCAGCAGTCCGAAACGCATCACTTTCCCTCGGATGAAGCCGACGAATGAAGTTGACATACACAGCGATTCGGGGCATCGGAAGCTCACCGGGGAGGAGGATGAGACTAAGGGCTACGGCATACGCGGGGCCAATGTACTACGGCGAGGAAACTCGCCTCAAGGCAAATCCGTCGTTCACCTCTGCGACGGACTGTGCAAATCACACCGACTGCAGGTGAGGTCCAGCTATGCTGCGGAGGCACTCGCAGCTGCGCATAACCTCGATGAGCGTTACCCTACGCTCATCACTCTCCACGAGCTCAAGGCAGGAGCTCTGGCCCCACGACAACTACGAGATATGCGTGAAGTTGGAGGCCTAGCCATTAAAGTATCTCTTACCATAGACGCTGAGTCCGTTTATAAATCATTATCGGCAAGGATCTTAAGATACCGACATAACGGACTCTGCTTGGACATATCAGTTGGATACGTGAGCTCATGGATATAGGTATAGTACATAACGTGCAGTGGTGTGATACTAGGGATATGACCGCAGATGGGCATACAAAGGGAAGCATCGATCGGGAGCTGCTTTTGAAAGTAATGTCAGGCACTCAGTCATTCAAGTATGACGTGAAGCAGTTTGTTCCCTTTCGGGGTCCCGAGGACAGAAACAAACCCAAATCTAATCAATATTAATATGTCCTGTTGCCCCCCGCGGTCCAATTTGCCAGCATGGGCGCCTACTACAGAGGCGCCTTTCTAGTTGCTCGGAAACGAACCTTACATTTCACGCCTGGCAACGAGCCGGCTTTATATGACTCAGGCTCTCTGCCTTAATACTTATTTGCTCGGTGAGGTGTGGCCTGTTTGGCTTACCTCTAGCTGAGCCGATAGCCCTTCATCGCTCGAAGGGGCAATCTTGTATTTGCGTGAAATGCTTTGCGAGGAAACTCGCCTTACAGTCTGGTTTGCACTGTTTTCTTTCTTGCAAACAGTTGTGCGCGCGGCCTTTGTAGAGCCTAGCGGCTGCGCGGCTATGCTCTCCGTCTCCTCCCCTCCCGACTTTAAGGGTAGCTCTTTGGGAGATGTTGTAGTATCGGGAGCATAGCTCGCGCGCCGTTGCCTTTGGCTCAAGGCACGCGCGCCCTATTTGCCCGGATACCTGATGGTATTCGCTAGTTGCACGGACATCTTACCTAAGTGTCCGCCATGTGCTGGAAAGACCGATACATCGATCTTATCCTATCATACCCATCCTCTCCCCATATCGTGTTCCTGCGACATGGAAGTGGATGCTATGTGAGCTCATCCGCCTCCCATGGAGGCGGATGCTATTTGACCTACCAGGCTCATTTTCGACTTTGAACTCTTCATTTGTCCATTGTAATGTGTCTCCTGGAGGGCCCCGCTGGTGCCAAAGAGCGCCCCGAGAGGGTCCCACGAGGACCACACGATGTCCCACGGTTGCCCCAAGGGGGCTCCACGAAGGCCAAGGAAGGCATCAGGGAGAGCCCAAGAGTACGGCGCAAAGCAGGGCCCGAGCAGCCCAGAGATGGCCCCGCGAGAGCACCAACATGGATAGCGAGGAGGTGGAAGAAGAGGGGGTAACACGCCACCTGCCTGGCTCCATAGCTCACTTCTTCCCCGCATCCTCGTCCTTTTGATATTTGCTCCTTTTTTTTTCCTCTTAGCATCCTCCCCCCTCGTTCTACTCGTCCTCGTCATCCTCCTCACCGTCCTCATTCTCACTCTTCATAATCATCATCAGTCTTTCGTCTCCTCGTCCTTCACTGTCCTGGTCATCCTCCTCCCCCCTCCTTCCTGGCAACCACCTTGTTGTTATAAAAACTGAAGCTCGTTCAATACAGCCAAAGTGTACCCAGGCCGCAGGTTTACGATGGTCCGATTTTTTTCGCATGGCCGAGCGGGCACTGTAACACAGACTTCTCATGTGTCTTTGCTCCGCTTTCTCCATCCACCTTGTCCCTACTCCGTCTGCCCCTCCCTCCCACTTCATGCGCCTCCCTCCCCTGTGAGGGGGCGGGTTGCGCACCAGCGGAGGCAGTGATTGTTTACGCGTATGTGCACTTCTGTGATGGCACGCACCTCACCCTAACCCAACCATTGGTTCGAGCCGTGCCTTCATCAACGAACGTGTTGTCTTCGAAACCCACAGTGCCTTCAATTCGGGCACGGCGGCTCCTTTAATTCGGGCACGGTCCTGCTTCGCCCTATACGCCAGGATCCCAGATGAGTCGAACGGTCGAACCAGAGCGCGCGCGAACCGCCCGCGATAGCTCCAGTTCATCGTATCCAAACCGATGTTCGAATCCTACTTGGGCGTCCACTGCGTGCCGTCAAGTGCAGTTCAAGCTTGGGTTTCTGGGGGGATCGAGCCTGACCACATGCGAACCAGAGACGATCCACATGCAACGCCAAGGTAGCGTGAATGTCACGTAGAAATCTCATCAAGTGTGAAGCTAGAGCGAAGCATACACATAGTGCAGGTCGAGCGTGCTTCGATCTTGTTAGATGGAGTCCCGAATATCCGCCTGCTGTGATTCAGTCAGATGGAGCCCACCCGCGACCTGCTCGTCGGTCGAAGACCGGACGTGTGCAATTAGCGGCGGATGCAGATGTGCCGATGGTTTTGCGTGTTCTCACATGTGTCGGCCATGCGACTAGATGCTGGTGCTTGTGCTCGGCGACCCGCGTAAGGCTGCTGGGCTTCGGCCTCCACCGCGCAGAAGACGCAGACAATCGTGACGGTCTCAGTGTTGCAGTCCTCGTGGCCCCCGCCTTTGTACTTCCGCTTCCGCTGCTCCGGTCGGCCTGTCCGACTACCACGCGGCTAGGGCTTGCTCGTTTTCGTTGACGATGGCAAGGCCACTCATTGTTTTGTGTTGTTGAGCGTCTCGTTTGGCAGAGTTGTTGCGTGTTCCTCTGTTGTGATTGAGGTCGCTGCGTTGGAACGTACTGCTGGTGACGATTCCGCCTGCTGCGATTCAGACGGAGACGCCACCAAATCGTTCGAGGTCGTGCCGTCATTCCCTTTGCAGGGTTCTTCGCGCGTCGGTAATGTATGATAGTGTGGTACGTCGTGCTTGCCAGTTTGCGTTGCCTGGTTGTCGTGGCCGCGTCTAAATTCTCTTTGGACGCTATGTAGGCTTGCTGCTCAGTCCTTTCTGACGGGTTGTGGTCGCCTCTGATGTTGCCAGCCCATGAATTCGGTGGGGGCTTGTCAGCATGAGTACGGGGCCGTTCGGTAGAGGATGTCCCATACGTGTCTTGATATGTTGTTGTAGTCTTGCCTGCGGCTATATCACCAGCGAGAACTACGTTTCTGGCGATGGGTTGGTTCTCTCACGCGCGGTAGGATCATGGGTAGTTTGGTGGGAGTTTGTGGCACTGCATGGCCAGATGCCACGCTGTCGCGTGATGGTGACCCTTCGCTGGCGGATCCTCCCCTCCACCTCCCTTTCCTCCTCCCCCCCCTCCCCTCCCACTCCGTCGCATCACCCGTCCTTCAGGATTACTTCGTGGAGTCCCAGGGCGATACCGCATGCACGCAATACAAAGATAAGAAGTCCTGCGAGCATGACGACAACGAGCGCTGGTGCAAGTGGGAGGACCCTCCTCCTCTGAGGAAGAGGAGGCGGAGGGCAGTGATGACGACGACGACGACGATGACGAGGAGGCTCACGCTGCGAGAGAGGCGGAGGAGCAGGCAGATCACAACAGCGACGACGACGACGCCAAAGGGGACTAGCAAAGGGCGGGGACAAAGCCGAGGAAGAGGAGGACGCAGAGGAGGAGGAGGAGGAGGAGTCTAATGAGGATCATGGGGAGTTCAAAGATGAGGAGAAGGAGGACGCGGAGAAGGCACGTAGAACGAGGGTGACGAGAAGCAGAAAGGCCCAAATTGGAGGAGGGGATGCGGAGTGCAGCGGTGGGGGAGGGCGGAGGGGGGGAGGGGGGGCAGGGAGATAGGAGGGGAAGGAGGAAGTGCGGTGCAGGGGCGCAGTATACACATTCATGCGCCAGTTGCCCTGCCGTGCGAATCCGCATCGCTCTCGGGTGGACGCTTGGGGTGGGGGAGAGGATGGCATCCGTTCAAGTCTTGCAAACGTTCAAGCAAGACGAATTTGCGAGGCGCTAGGGCAAGAACCACATTTGAAACCTACCCGCCCTCTCCCCCGTGAAGCCTGCGCAAACTGTTTAGTCGAATGTGTGCGGCGTTGAGGCGAGAGCCACGTTTGAACACGTTGTAAATCGTTTACAGGTTTTTAACACGAATATGCGCGGCGTTATTTCGAGAGTCACACGTTGAAAACGGCTTTCCCTCCATCCGTTAAGGCGAATGTGTGCGGCGCTGTGGCAAACACCACATTTGAAAACGACCCGCCGTCCATCCGTGAAACGGCTGCAAAGTTTAAACTTCAGGGCCGTTGGTTGTGAGGAAGTATTTGGCGAAACGCACGGCCCGCCCTACCGATGCGCCTCGGGGTGTGACAGGGATGAGGTTTGGCATATAAGGATGTTACCCAGCGTGGGCCCAACACAATGCGTTGTTAGACGTCTATGTGGTGCAATCGATGTGCTGCAATCTACGCGGTGCAAGCTATGTGGTGCAATTCACTTTGTCGGATTTCAGGTTGTCCACTTCACTGTTCGCGCAGTCATCCCACCCACCCGCCCGCAACTTGGTTTGTCAAACCAATGCGGCGGCGATTGCGATGGCTGCTTGGTGCAGGCTTGCGCATCGCTGCGGTCGTGCTAGCGCGCGCAGGCTTCGCGCGGAACGGCCAGCTAGTCTGGTGCGACCGACGCGGCCGTAGTGCCGCTGACCGTTGGGAACTTCCCAACGCGTCTCGCAGTCTGCGCTGGCGCTCGGTGACTCGGGTGAGCGCGGTATCATGGCGACGTCGACGACGCCAGACACGATGATGATAGTAGCGATGCTGGTGACGACGCTGACGATGACGACGGCACGGCCAATGACGGTGCCGATGCCGACCTCGCCGATGACGAAGGGCGATGACAGTGTCTACGAGCCGGTGTTGAGGGCTAGGACTTTGACATGCGCGCGCGGCCGACGAACGCGAGTGGCCCGCACGTTATTATTTGACAGGGACCGTGCCCCCCACCCACTCACCCACCCACCCAGCACGCGCGCTAGGATGTTCGTAGGATTTCGACATGTGCGCGCGAGAGGCCCGCTTGGTCGCAGTTGATGATTTGTTTAGAGCCTTTGGTTTGTTCTCCCGAATTCGCAAGAGCGCGCGCGGACCTGTTCGATAGATCATGCTACAACACCACGTGTGTTTTGTATGATACCGGAGAAAAACCCCAATCAGGGCTATAGGGCTGGGGGGCTATTGAGCTATAGGGCTATAGAGCTATAGGGCTATAGAGTTGCATGGCTATTGGGCTATAGGGCTATTGGGCTATAGGGCTATAGGGCTATAGGGCTTAGGGCTATACGGCTATAGGGCACCCCCGGGCACCTCCCGGGCACCCGGGCCCCGGGCCCCCCCGGGCACCCGGGCACCCGGGCGTGCAGCGAAAATCGGCGACAAACCTAACCTAACCATATGAATCCGTTAGGACCCCTACAGAGACAAGCTCTGATTGGGGAATGATTTGGGGCAACCGATTTTCAATTCCTTACGAAGCCCGGCTTTTGTTCAAGGATGTTGGCCTGCGTGTGCAACGGCGCACGTGCGCACTGCGTCCCATTTGTTGCAAGCGGTTTTTGAGCATGGGTGAATTTTGATAAACGAGCGCTCGCGCAAAATTGTCTTTGACAGGGATGGTTGGGTTTGTCGAACCTAGTTTGCCTGGCATGATCTGAGGTCATATGTGGGGGCACAGCCACGTGTAAATTGTACATCCACACGGTGAGGGGAGAAGTCCGGTCCCAGAAGGTGGTGGACCCACATTTTTCCGGAACGATAATGTACGTAGTGCTAAACATGCGGTGCAATCTATTCGGTGCGATCCATGTTGTGCAGGCTACGTGGTGCAATATATGTGGTGCACTCCTAGGTTGTGCACTCTATGTGGTGCAGTGTCTGTTGTAGAATTTACGCGGTGCAATCTATGTTGTGCAGTCCACTCTGCTGAACTTGAAGTCGTCATCTCCGCTGCTCGCGCAAAAATCCCACCCACCCACCCGCAACTTGGTTTGCAAAACCTCTTAAGACCGACTACGCCGACACCGACGACAACGACCTAGGACGACACCGACGACGGTTCCGACGACTTCGACGACGACAACGACGCCTACGCCGACGACGACGAAGACGACGACGACGACGCCAACGAGGACGACGATGAAGGAGAAGGAAAGACGACAACGGCGACAACGACGACAACGACGACAACGACGACAACGACGACAACGACGACAACGACGAGGGAGGAGGGAGGACGGCGACGACGCGAAGGACGACGGAGGAGGAAGGACGGCGACGCCGACGACGATAACGACGAGGGAGGAGGGAAGACGACGACGATAACGACGACGACGACGGCGACGAAATAGGAGGGACGACGACGAGACGCCGACGACGGACGACGACGACGTGGGAGGAGGAGGAGGAGGAAGGACGACCCCGGCGACAACGACGACGGAAACGACCACGACGCCAAAGAGGACGACGACGACGAACACGAGAAAAGACAGAGGACGACGTAGGCGACGACGACGACGACGACGACGCGGGAGGAGGGAGGACGGCGACGACGACGACGACGACGACGACGCAAGAGCGCGCGCGCACGCTTTTGTTGAAAATCCGTGTTGCGAAACCTTTGGTTTTTTGTAGGTTTTTCGGACGCACGATTTTGAAATCCGTCCGAAACCGATGGGTTTCGCAGGTTTTCGGCATACGCCCGCGACGACGCGCGCGTCTGCACTTCGTCCCGTTTTTTTGCAGAGGATTCTCGCGACGGCACACGCGCAAGGGCGTTCGACAGATTTCGACATGCGCGCGCGAAGCCCGTTTGGTAGGATTTGGTGAAAATCTTGAAAATCCCATGCTTTTCGTAAGCTTTCGCAAGAGCTCGCGCGGAACCTTTTTTAGCAAATCAGTGTTACGAAACCCTCTATTCTCACTCGCTCAACTTGAAGCTGTCCTCTCCACTGCTCGCGCAAACATCCCACCCACCCGCCCGCAACTTGGTTTGCACGACGACACCAACGACGTCTCCGACGACTTCGACGACGACAACGAAGCCGACGACGACGACGACGACGACGACGCCGCCAACGAAGGCGACGACGAGGGAGGAGGAAGGACGACGACGGCGACAACGACGACAACGACGACAACGACGAGGGAAGAGGGAAGACGGCGACGACGCGAACGACGAAGAAGGAGGAAGGACGGCGACGCCGACGACGATAACGACGAGGGAGGAGGGAAGACGACGACGACGACGACGACGACGACGACGACGGCGACGAAATAGGAGGGACGACGACGAGACGCCGACGACGGACGACGACGACGACGAGGGAGGAGGAGGAAGGACGACCACGGCGACAACGACGACGGAAACGACCACGACGCCAAAGAGGACGACGACGACGAACACGAGAAAGACAGAGGACGACGTAGGCGACGACGACGACGACGCGGGAGGAGGGAGGACGGCGACGACGACGACGACGACGACGACGACGCAAGAGCGCGCGCGCACGCTTTTGTTGAAAATCCGTGTTGCGAAACCTTTGGTTTTTGTAGGTTGTTTGGACGCACGATTTTGAAATCCTTCCGAAACCGGTGGGTTTTTGCAGGTTTTCGGCATACGCCCGCGACGACGCGCGCGTCTGCACTTCGTCCCGTTTTTTGCAGAGGATTCTCGCGACGGCACACGCGCAAGGGCGTTCGACAGATTTCGACATGCGCGCGCGCGAAGCCCGTTTGGTAGAATATTGTGAAAATATGGAAACACTTTTGTTTTGTTTTTCTTCTTTTCTAATAGAATAGAACCGCAAGAGCTCGCGCGGAAGTTTTTTTAGCAAATCAGTATTGCGAAATCCTGTGTTTTTTGCATGTCTTTTGGAAGCTCGATTGCGAAATCCTTCCGGCACCGAAGGTTTTAGAAGGATTTCGGCATGCGTGCGCGACGACGCGCGCGTGTGCATTTCGTCCCATTTTTTGCGAGGGATTCGCCCGGATTTTTTGCCAGGGACTCGCCAACGCGCCAGGCATACGGCCAGAAGAAGTTTATCAGCGAGCATTCAGGCCGATTCCACGTGAACACAGACACTCTGCTTACTGGTCCTCCCTGGACCTCACCCAGTGTGATACGACACGCTTTTGCTCAACGATGCTCTTCTTTGGGCTGGTGCTCAAGATGATTGCTCCTAATGCACGCATGTTTGTTCGTGCAGTTATGACACTTCTGATCAACGCAACTTGCCATTGGAGAGCAAAATCAAACAAAACTAAGCAGAGTCTGGACTTCTGGGGAGCTCTGACGAGCGGCACAGCATGGACTTTCATGCTAAACAGCGTACACATGCTAATGATATTATGTGCCGACGTGCCCGATTTCGTGAGCGCGGTTGTAGGTGGTGACGACGTCTCATATGCCACGCTTAGTCAGCATTCGCTAC